CAGGAGCAAAGCTCAGTACCACAACCCATGGACCTAGACCACCTGCTACAGGTGGGCCCGCGGTACCCGGTAGCCCAAATATTTTTGTTCCAAGTGACTCAGTAGCTCCAATCCTGAGGCTGTGGGAGCAGCCTCGTTGCAGGTGAAGCATGATGTATTATCATCCGAATATATCCAAATTCTATCAAATTATTTTGACCATTATGAATTTATGCATTTTCTATCATTTTCTCCTGCGGCATTCCCTGTTAGTTTCAGCTTTGGCACCGAAGGCACGTCACGAGGAGCGTCAAAGTTACGCGCTAGCAGCACAGCTGGCAAGTGACGGACACGTGGAGGGCATGGCGGCCAAAGCGGAAATGTGCCTTGGCTGAACTATGATGAACCGCTGCTGTCAGAGACATCGGCTCTTTATTGTCAGGAATAGATGACGCAGAGATGAATGCATGCAACTACATGTATATGTATAGTCTATACATATGTATATATTGTTATTCATTGTTGATTTGCCATCGCTGGACACGGAAACATACGGAAACCTTTTGCCTTGAGAAGGCTCCAGACATATCGCTGAGGTAATGGAAACTTAATTGTATTGCTCAAGATATAGAACTTCCGACATGGACATGGTTCGCCATGGGTTGAAAGGGAAACCACTCAGGCTGTACTACGGCAAGAGCGGAGTGGTGCCAGGGTCTGCTGGGAAAGCTTGGGTCGTCTGGAGACTCAGAGTGACATGTTGTGACCTCTAAGGGTCCGGATGAGACACTTCACTATGATTCAAGCATATTATTTTCCTTGCTGAAGTCAGATTTCAGATAACTTCTGTATCTGACCTCCAAGGTGGTTCCTTTGCTTCTCTTGGCTGCTTGGAAGTTGCCAAAGTTGTGCAACCGGGAGGTGCAGGCAGGAAATGTCACAGCGTGGGTAGCCTATCTTTGCGCTTGTCGTACTTGGGACTGATGTTGTGTTCGGTGCTGCGAGGCTGGTGCTCCCAATGTGAGGCCGCGCATTGGTGGCTGCTTGCGTGTGCTGATGTCTCTTGCAAGCATCATCGGGAACCACAGGCCTAATGGGAACAATAGTTTTTTTTCTCCATAAGGCTGTCGGGAAAGGATCTCCTCTGCCTCCGGCAATCTCGGCCCCAGGCTCTTGGCAGCTTTCGGGATCTGGTGGTCGTTTCGAAGTTGCCGCCTGAGCTATTGCACTTGGTGATTGGTCTTGGGAAAGCCAAGGAGCCAGAGATGATAATGAGATGATTATCCCCAGCAGGGACCTCTTTTGGCTCTGGGAAATTCCAATCTCACCGCAGAGGCTCGCGGCCTGGCGATTTGGCGCCGGACACTGCGCAGGCCTTCCTGTGACCAGTTGATGGCAGATGATGGTCATTGAGTCACGGATGTCGCGACGGAGTCAACTCAGATTTCCCTCAAATATGACAGATCCATATACTGTAGATCTGTAGATCCATACAGATCATTTTCCTTCATTTTTTTTGAAACGGATTCTTTTCCCACTTGAGTTGGCGCTCCAGTGGTACAGGCGCAGGAACTGTTCCAAGAAGCAGCAGATGCTGGACACTGGGGTGCAGCCTATGCCTATGCCTTGCTGAAGCTGGAAGAGAATGAGAGTCACACGGCATTTGTTTTTTTCGAAAGGAAACAACTGAAGCAATTGCCCCTGTCAAATTTGTTTGATGCTGTTGTTGACTAACGCTTGGCATGGCTGGGACCTTCTTTGTCCCGTCCATTTCATGCAACTGTCAGACGTTGTAGGTGAGGCGGAGCCATACTTGCGGCAAGTGGTGCAACAAGGTGAAGCTCCAGCGTTTCCCGGCGCACACTACAGGAACAGTGGGCTTCCTATGGTTGAGGTTAAAAACCCTGCCATGCTAAGACACGTGTGCCGCTGGTCATTCTGATCATTCAGTCAGCTCTAACGATTGGAAAAGCAGCGGCTTGGCCCACCGCTGAACTGGTTTCTTTTGCAAGAGCTGGTGAAATTGCATTAAGTTGCTTGACCTTGCAGATTTCTCGAAAGCTAGCTGTGAGCATTTGCCACCTGGTAGAGCAAAATAATCCGAACATTTCCGAACTGCTGCAGTTGGCCAGCTTGGCCGTCACTTAGGTGCTTTTTGGCGGAGTACTTTATGCATCGTCACGGTTTTCTTCCGTCAGATTCAGCCAAGGAGAAGCAACTGCCACTTGGGTGAGATGTTGAGTGTTGAGTGTTGATGTGTTCAATTCACTGTAGCTCTGCTTTATGCTTTCGCTATCTTTCGCTGCTTGGTCCTGGAAGACACCAAGCCTTTCCCCAAGGCTCCAGCAAGCTGCGAACCTGGGGGATCCCATGGCCGCGAACCTCTTGGCGGAACGCTTCGCGCGTGCTGATGCAGCGCCGGACGATGCCTTGCGGTACTACCGGCAGGCTGCGATGGCTGGGCAGCTGCCGACGCGCTACAACATTGGAGCCTTGGGCACCGGGGTGGAGGTAGAAAAGCTTTCCATGGGGAAAAAGTGGGACAGTAACAAAATCAAACACCTACGGGCTACAAGACTTTAGGACTTTAGAAAAGAACATGGACAATTCCGGTTTGCCGAGGGGTCTGTGTACCTTTCATCACGGGGTATCTTGTGAGTGCATGTTGCTGAGGAGTGCTGCTTATCCAGTCCTTGAATGGTACAGAGCCAACAGATGCTCTGTGCCTGGAAGCGCGGCAGGAATTTGTTGAAGTGGCATCTGGGTTGATTTCAAGAGCCGGGCGTGCTGGACAATGGGACTAGGGGTAGAGTGGGTTGACGGAGATATGTGGAAGGGAATGAGGATGAAAGCTGAGATGATGGTATGATTCTCCAAAATGAAGGGCATGTTGGTTGCAGCCGCATTTGAGAATGTAAAAGCGCCACTGAACCAAGGCAAGAGACATGGATCCAACCGTGCGCTTGCTGTTTGCCCTGGCGATGAGGTGTCGGGTTCAGCCGGAGTTCAGCGGAAGCAGGTTGGATCAGAGGACGAGAAAGATGGAATTCACTTGGTTTCAGGAGTTGGGAGCTGGGCAACGCCACGGCAGCGCTTACTATTTTCTCACTACTCTCCGAGGCTGGTGTGCCTCAGCTGCACTTAAGGACTTGGCAGCAAACACCTGATGCCGGAGTGCAAGTTCTTCAACTGAGAACGGCCAACAATTGCGGGAAAGACCGGATCGTGTATATATATATATAATATTAGACCGTATAACCATGTGTGGATGTACATGCGCCTATGAAGAGAAATAGAAACAGTCGTGAGTCTACATAAATCTTTGTGTCTACATAAACCTTGACTGGGGCAGCGCCATACATTTGAGAGACAGAACACGTCCCCCACGCTTTGAGGTGACGAAAGCACATCGCAATGCAGCGCGGATATGGGAGCAGCAGACAGGTGCAATAGCAGATAGGTGGAATGGAAAGATAAACTGGACAAACTGAATTTGTGTCATGGAATATCATTGAAAAATATGCCGAGCAATCTGGTTGGATCTAGAAAGATTGTGTTTGGAATGAGACCAGCCCCTTTGGATAGAACATGGTACCAATAACGGACAGTTCGAAGCTGCAATCTCAAGCCAAGAGGATCGCGACAGGTACTCGAAGCAAGTGTGACACAAGGGCATACCCTGCAGTGTTGCAAATGCTGGCAGGTACGCTGGACCCGTTGGACTTCGGATCGCCAGTGCAGGACATGCGTTCCGGGCAGACGAATTCAGGAAGTGAAGGGTCAGTGTAGGTGTGTGGCCCTTATTGGCGAAGGCCCTTATTGGCGAAGGTTTTCTTGCAAAGCTGAAGATTGCATGTACAAGCGACTAGGAAAGACACCCGTGCAAGATCAACAGAGAAAAGAAAAACCATGTCTTTCACACACTAGCTGCCACTAACTAATACCCAAAGCTGATGCGGAACCTATTTAGTGACTTAGTGGTGCCTTGTGACTTTCATGACCTGTCTTTCCAGTTCTTGACTATTTGTGATTGTGCTGAAACCAGACTTGCACTACTCTAAGATGATTGCATGCAGACAAAATGGACAGGATGGAGACTACTCGCTGGCCACCTGCAATGCAAGCGATGATGCGACAGCAGAATTGGTGGCAACAGGATCCGAACTGGATGAGAAAGGGCCGTGGACGATTTTTCAATGGATGAGCTTCTGAGTTGTCGGTATTGATGCTTCTGATACCAGTCCACCCAAGCTGGCCTCTCTCGGAACGCCAACTAGGATGGTAATCAGGGGATAGCTGGGTGATTGTTTCAGAATCTGTGGCCGGCAGGTGTACCCTTAAATGCCGCCATGCGAAGCGCTTAGCAAATTTCGCAGGCCGCTTCTGCTGTTCTTCCGGGAATTGCAGTGCCTTTCGCTTCAACGAGCCCGGCTTCCTCCCCTCGGAGTGCATGCTGCGCTGTAGTGCCTCGAAGTAAAGGGAATTAACGTGAACAGATGTGAACAGTGTGAAGTGGGAGAAAAAAGAGAAAAATAGAGAACACAGATTGAAAAACAGATTGAAGCTGTTTGCATTCGTGTTTTGCAGCTTGAGGCGCAGATGCGAAGTGTGTCTTTGCCACCACATATGCCACAGGATACTGCAGCCTGGCGAAAATAACTTTGTTTTGATGAAACATATTGTTTTGATAGTTTTGATACTGTTATGTTTTGATATGTTTTGATTGTATAATTGAAAGTAAGTGAGTCAGGGTAGATGATGATGAATGAGCATGTAGACGGATGGTTCAAAAAACTGAAACAACATTGGGACAGTTAAGATTCAAGATAGTTAAGTTCGTGGAGGGACCCGAGCCAGAGTGGGTCAAAGACAGCCTGTTGAAACAGATAGTGAACACAAAACGATTCAATCTGAAGACCCCTGCATAGACTGGATGCCACCTAAGGTCAACTGTCTGAGGATTGCGACACCATGGCGCCTGCAAGTGACCCCTCGGCGCAAATCTTCAGGCTGAAACGGCCGCAATGCAGGCGCCAGAGGCCTTTTATCAAGATCAGTTTGCATCCACAGCATGTGACAAGGATGATGTTGGCCACCTGCGGAGGCCAGCAGCTTCTGCCCTAGCTGAGTGCTCTCCACAGGTCCATAATGCAGTTGGTGCTGTCGTCATCTCATGCCATGTCCATTCGATTGCTACATATTTTCAGGATGGTCCAGGATGGTCTCCATGTTTTCAAGGACCAAATTGGTGTGATCCAATGGGACTATTGGATCAACCGTAATCAACCTGTGTTTCCAGAGGCGCACAGCAGAGGTGGCCCCCAAGCCCGTCGTTGTGCGGCCCTGTTCTGGGCGCGAGCAGCGGAGCATCCGTCAACGGTGGGGAAGGTGTGGGACCTTGTTGCTGGCCGTTGAAGCAAAGGTTTTGGACAATTCACCGTCACTTTTGTATCCACCATCCTACAACCTCAACTCAGCATTATCCAATATCATCCACTCCCTGGGATCTTTCAACAATATTGTCAACGGCCATGCGCATCTCAGGTGGAACTGGAACTTCCCCACGGCAGTGCGTTGCTGGAGGTGCGGCTCCGTTGGAGCAGACGGGCACTGGACAATGAACCCCAAGTATCCCCAAGTCAGGTTGATGGAAACCACTGACAGTGGAACATTTTTGGATGTTTTTCTTCTAGCTTTGCCTACTTTATTTTTACGTACTTATACAGTTATACATGTCACAGAGTTCTGACACAGGTACACGGTGATTATTTTTCAGGTCGAACAGAACAGACAACTTGTGCTGACAGATTTAATATCATTGAAACTTTACTTTCGAATTTTAGAGTCTCCTGTTTTTCCTGAAGTTGAAAAGTACCCCAGCAAAATGAAGGGACTCCTTTCAGCAACTTTCCGCTCAGGGGAAGGACGTTTCTCTACGACTGGCGCTTGTTTCAACAACCTTGTCAATCTTGCTACTGTATGTTGTGTGAGGCAAGCAAGAAAGCAGCAACAGCAGCGGCTGCAACTGGCCGACATCTTGAATGGCAAACCTGGCAAGTGAATATCGTTTGCCGACGCTTCACAAAAAGCCTTTACAATTGCTGACTCAAACCTGTGAAGCTTCTGGTTTTGACATTTTTCCAGAACCATTCCTTGATTCATGTCCACAAGTCCTTAGATCTATAAATGCTTGGATGAATGCATTCAGAAAGTTAGATGATGCTAGTCTGAGAAGTCAGATGATTTGCATCCATAGTCACTGTCCAGGCTTGGGGAGTTGGAGACGGCCATGGCCTGGAGTTGCGCTGCGGCCAAGATGAACAGCGCAGCAGGGCGACTTCGATGTGCCGCGTTGCAGGTTGGTATCCCACCAAATACCAGGACAGATGGTATTTCCAAAGGCTGAGCAAAGGGAGATATTTTTTATATATCAGATACATCCAATGTTCCATTGTATATATATATATATATATTATACAACCATGTGGATGTTGGAAGGCCAAAGATTGGATGCAGCTGGATGCTCAAGTTGTGTTGGGGCCAGGCTGATTCCTGGCCTGGTCATGGTGCCAACTTATCCCGCGCAGCTGCAGAGCTTCGTTCTTTGGCTGCAATGGACTGGGGCACCTGGCGGAAAATCCACAAACTGGATCCGAATGGATGAGGGAACTCCTGGACAAATTGACAGGTTTGTGGTTCTGATGTTCGCTGTGGTTCTGTGCATTTCAGTACCTGTGACTAAAGACTGAATGAGGCCTGATGGCAAGCCAGGACCCTGAATCAACTGTTGCAGTGTATGTGGGGCCCTGAGTTCAAAGCTACCGATGGTGATGCCATGTCAGCCATGTCCATGTGAATATCGTTGGGAGATTTGGGAGATGTCGAAGCAAAGTCCCAAGATTTGCGCCGAGGGGACTTTGGGTTCCCTCTTTGCTCGCTTCTGGCGCCGCGCGGTCCTGGAAGGATGCGAACTTCCGTCCCACGGTACCAACTGGGAGCCGTGGAGGATCATACCTTAATGATCCTTAATGATGATGCCTCAATATATCTGATCAGGTCATGCTTTTCTGTGGCCATTAGTGGGCCGCCAGAAGTTCTGAATTCCGCCCAAAACGGTGTGCAAGATATTCATAGATATTCATAGAGATTCTATTTGAACTTTCTGAAAGGACACGGCTTTTGGAGACAGGGAGGCATCACTGGTTGACATGGACCGTGGCCAAGGCCAGGGCGCGTGCTGCTGCCTCGCTGTGACCTACGTGATGCTGCCCAGAGGGCTGGCCTGGACTTGGAGCCCAGTGCTGAACGAGCGGCCGAGTCTTGGAGTCCAAGCCTTTCACGTTTTTGAAGTTTCAAAATTTTCATAATTTTTTCATTTTTTTCAAAATGTTTCAACATGTTTCAAACCTTTCGAAATGATTCCAACATGGTTCAACATGGTTCCAACATGGTAACCGTGGTTCCAACATGGTTCAAAATGGTTCGAAGATAAGGCAACGTTGGCAAGGTGCGGTTGGAAAGGCAAAGGGAAGTCTAGCTGGGCAAAAGGTGGAAGTGACCGAGGTTGGGCAAGAAACTGATCGCACTTCCACCCAGTGATGTTTGATGCGCTTGATGCATTTGATGCTAAGGAAAAGGTGCTGTTCTTGAGCCTTTTGATGCTCACGGCTCTCCTCCTCTGCCTGGCCTGGCTAGGTGCGGTGCACCAGCCCAGGGTAGACATGATGCCAATGTTCGTACCATGTCCAACCTTATCTTATCCATGCCTAATGGCAATGCGGTGTGTTAATCCATGTTTCATTTCAGAAGTGCAGTGTGTGGCAGGTCTCAGGATGCTGCAGTCATCGTTTGTGCGGAAAAAAGGTGGATTTTGGCGCCCGAATGCGATTGAAGCATTCAAGAAACGAACGCTGACAGATTTCTGGAGATGATCCATGTCCTAGGGGTGCCCACCATGCACAGATATTGGTGTTTTGCAGAGGCTCTACGTGATGCGTGGCCGTAGCTATTTTTGTTCCAGCTTTGTTGCACTTGGAATCCCAACACCTCAAGCTATGGAGGCCAAGACCAACTCCATTGACCTTGAGATCGCTGAGACTGCTGCCACCCTGTCCAATGACAGGTCCACAGCCAGCTGTGATACCACGAGTGACAAAACATTGAAGGAGTTGAACGCTTCTGAAGTCGACGTGGCTGGCAGCGCTTCCAGCATCTTCCGCCGTGGTGGTATCTTTCCAACTGCCATTTGCCTGAGCAAAGCTGCCATTGGCGCTGGGGTGCTCTCTGTGTCGGCTCATGCTGCAGAAGTTGGAGCTGTGTATCAACTCATTTGTCTCCTACTCGGTGGCTTTCTTACGATTTGCTCCATCCGGATGATCTCCATCGCTTCAATCGAGACTCAACGTTGGAGCTTTGAGGATGTTTGTGAAGAGCTGTTCCACCCGGCCATGTCGCTCTTCACGGGCTTCATCAATGCCTGTGTTTGTCTTGGCTCCGCTGCTGGGTACCTCATCGTTTGTGGCCAGGTCTTCGTGGTGATCTTCCAAGCTGACGACCAGGCGCGCAATATCTTCGTGGTGCTGACGGGCGTCTGCGTGTGCTGTCCATTGGCACTCGCGCGTCATGTGGGTTTCATGCGACATTTGGCTGCTGTGAGTGTGGCTGCCCTGATTCTGCTGGTCATTACTGTGGGCTGGTACCTGGGTGACAATGGCATGGATGAAAGTGTCTCACCGGAGAACTTCCTCTTTGGTCCAGGTGTAGCCACCGTTTTTACCTACATGAACTCAATCAACAACCTGGTCTTTGCCTACAACAACCAGTTCAATGTGCCCCAGCTCACCGGGGAGCTGACGCCGATGCCAAGTACAAAGGGAATGACCAAGGTGTCTGTCTTGAGCACAGGCATGAGCTTCCTTCTCTATGCCTCAGTCTCTGTTCTGGGTGTTTTGGCTTTTGGAGTAGCAGAGGGGCAGAAAGACTCCCTGATTTTGGATCTGATGCCAGTTCGCAAGGAGGTCCATGTCTTGATTTCGCTGGTGGCGGTGCTGTTCAGTGTCTTGACTTGTTTCCAATTTCACATCTTCCCGGTGCGTCAGTTCCTGGCCTTCAACGTGCGGAAGCTGCGTGGCCGCGAGGCGGACGATGAGAAGTCGGACGCGAAGTGCTGCGGTCGCACCATGACCCGTTGGTACGACATCATCGGGGCCTTGGGCTCAGTGGCACTGGTCATTTTGATCGCAGTGGTCATCACGAGCCTCCGAGCTATGCTGGACTTTGTTGGTGCTTTTGGTGCCGCATACATTTCATATGTGGTGCCGCCATTGTGGATTATCGCCGTTCGCAGAAAAGCAGCTGGAAGCAGTTTCTCATGGCTTACTGCAGAGATCTTGTTCTGCTTGGCCTTTTTGGGGCTGGGTATCTTCCTCTTCGTCTTCGGAACCTATGCCGCGATCGTTCCACTGCTACAGGGTGCCTGAGAGTCATTTACTGAATTAGTCCATGGTGTTTTTCTGAGAGTGTGCTGAAGACTCACTTCTCGGCGCCAATTTGACTGTTGCATGACTGTCTTTGTCTCTGCACTACTAGATTACTAGAAGTGCATTGTAAAGGGTGTGACAGTTCATGTTTTGCTTACAGTATAGCAGGGTATCTGAATTTTCAGGAAGTCATGGATGACATCGCTTCTCCTTTGGGAGACGATTGTCAGCAGCCTCCTGGTCCCTGTCTGCTTAGACGACATCCAGTTGGAGACGGATGAGTTTGAGTTTATATCTTGCTTGGACCCCAGGATGCAATCCTATGATGGTAGGACCTGGTCCAAGTGAGATCGCAGAAGATTTTTCCAAAGGCGTTGGCCCGAAAGAGTAGATCAACAAGCCAATGGAACAAGATCTTCTAAAGGACATTGAAAATGAGGAGCCAGCGCACTCATCCACGACATATTAACGACAGATTTTTCTTTTTGACTCAATGCCTTGATGCCCTTTGTCTCTCTCAGAAATGGCAACGTATGTAAAAT